AATAATTATCATTTTGATCCATACATTGGTAATGTCTGACTGGGCCTCGTGTCACTTTATGTTCAAGAAATTGGGCCCCGAGGTCAAAAAGGTTAAGAACCCCTGCATGCATTAGCCTGTCTTTGTCTCTCTGAACACATTGCAGACATCTGTCCCATGATGGTTTGGTTACACCATATTGTATTCTCTTGAGAGACAATTCATTGTAGTTTTAATTGATGTGAGAAAACATTTGTCAGGTTAATAAAATACATGCATAGGGTGGGGAGTGTAGCGACTCACGCAGGCGGCCAAGGCTGCTTGACTGCCGAGAACGTAGGTCCTCTGTGGAGCGGTGGATCCCAGAAGCTGAACTAGGACTACGACTCAGATTAGCCTGAGGACTGCGATCTGACAGAGCAGCAGCAACAGATGGAAGAACCATTAAGAAAGAAGTGATTTCAAGATAAGAGGTGAAACAGGTGTTGATCAACAAGGTGCAGGGAACATTAGGATTTGCATTATTCCATCATCTAAAAATTAGTGAAATGGCAAAATAAAATAGAAACATAATAAATGCGTACTGGAGGAAGTGTTGGTGGACTTTCCTATGTCTGCCAGTGAGCGGTGGATTGGTTTCTTGGTCTGGTGACGGTGCTTTCTGAGCAGTACAAAAATAATCTTCTCCTTCAGATCCTGAGGAATGAGACCGTCAGCTATCTGTCGATCCACAATCTCCTCTGAAAGAAAGTTCACAGCACAGTTGTACACACATTTTATACTATTTTACATATAAACGGTTGTCTGTATGAAGTGCACAGCTTTATATACTATAAATACTGTTTACTGCAGTCATAGGCACTTTTAATTGTATTCAATAGCTGTTCTTTTCCATGGAATCATTATACAACATAAAACTGAAGTGATTTTTAAAATCAAGAATTCAGTACACAAGTTGTATTGTAGATATTTTATAATCTACACACAGACAAAATTTTACCAATTTATTTATTTTTTGTCAAGTTCAGCAGAAGTCGGATCCAGAAATATAGACCAGTGCAAAAAATTTCAGTGAAACGCCAACGTTTAATAGCTTAAAAATTACAGAAAAAAAGCTTTGTGGCAGAAAAAAATACAAAATTACTCGAGACAAGTGGAGAGACTCTGAGAAGAACCAGACCAGCATGCAAACACCATGATCAGCTGCAGGAAAGTAAAGACTAAAGGACAATATAGACTGGTGCAAATGAGAAAATCAGGTGGCTTAATGATAACAGGGAACAGGTGTAGGGGGGCGTTGCAGATCTGATGAGCAGCAATTCAGTGAGGAAAATATACTGATAGTGATAAAAACATTAAAGAACAAGGAAAATACAGAAAATATACATCAAAAACAATAAACAAGGGCAATAAACACAAAAACCACAGATTGTTGGCTGGCACTCAAGCTGGTCAGAAATTTGCATTTGCCCACACAAACAAATCAAATATATTAAAAGAGTCAATGTGAGGCTTTCCGAGCTATTACTTGAACAATTGTCAAGCATGGTGGTGGTAGCATCATACTGTGGTGTTGATTCACAAAAGAACTGAACGGAATAATAAAAGAAAACTGCCTCCATTTTTTTCAACTTCCCTCAACTCAACAGCTAGGCTTGTGAAACTATGTTCAAAGAAGAGAATAACTGTCAGCACATCTGGAAAGTTTAATGGACCTCATGCAAGAACGTTTTCATATTCTTATCCTAAATTTCTCTTACTTTTGTTCGTATGAAGAGTTAGAGGAGATTAGCATAATTACCACCCCAAAAACACCATATAAAGATATATGTTTCCTGCCCCACATACCAGGACGTGTCCATTCATAAGTGACATCGCAAACTAAAAAGAAGAACTTTACAAGTTCAGAGATTGAAGTTCTGCTCTGAGAGATGCAGAAAAGAAAATCTGTCATTTTTAGCAGCGTCAGCTGTGGAATTAAAGGAATGAAATGAAGACTGCTGTTAATGTTGTGTCTCCTGTGGGTCGTTACAGTCACAGAAATAAAAATCTAAATCATATTCATCTCTCTCTAGTCCTTCTCTGGTTTTCCTTTGGTCCAATATTTTTAATTTAAGTACAAACAACTGTGCTACATAGTTTTCATTTATTCAGAAAGAGAGCAGTTGCACACCAACCCTAACCCTACACCCCCACCCCCTGCCCCCACCTCGCTGTCGCAAGTGTCAGATGCAGTTCTGAAAAAAAAGCATTTTAAAATGTCTCCAAATTTCAATAAATGCATAATTTAAGTTTGTTTGTAATTTGAGATCTTCATATTAAAGGCACAGTGTGTAGGATTTGTTGTTTGCAGCGACATCTAGTGGTTGAGTGGTTGAATCATCCTCCCTGGTCCTCCCCCCACCCCCACCCCCCGTTTCCAAACACAAAGGAGTTGCTACGGTGTCTCTCAGGTGTCAAAAACCTTTGATAATTCCAACCRCGATGTCTACCAGCAGCTTCAGGGCTAGTGATGTTTCAAGTGGTAAGATTATGAGCTTTAATAAGTAAAATTATCCCAGCTACAATGACAGACAACAAATATTACATTTATAGTATTACAACTAAAACCGTTTTTGACGCCGCCACCGCAGTTTGTCCTTCATGAGCCTTCGTAGACAAGATGGCGGTGCAAGATGGCAGCTGCCTGTGTGGCGACCCGCGACCATGGAGATATAAACAGATTTTTATAAGGTAAAAATAATAAAACAAGGTTTTTGTCTGCAATGATTAGACATGTTTTTTATTATTGTCATTAGTGATTATCTCAATTTCAGCTAAAAGGCTTGACAAAATCCTACACACTGTGCCTTCAATATTGTAGTGTTATACAAAAGCATTAACAGCCAATTTAATTTAATCTAACCCATTTATATTGTTAGTCTATATGATTATATTTAAAATTATAATTCCAGTTCAAACAGAATAACCTGTTGTCGACATAATTATGGAGTGTGATTTATTTTGAACTTGAAATATCTTCAAACTAATGAAATATAAAGTTATTAGGGAGGAAAACCCATCTGGATAACAGTAGACTGACTGCTCGTAAAATATACGACAGGTCTGGACCACTCGTGAATTTTGTTCGTATCTGAAGAAAATCAGAATATGAAAACATTGGTGAATGCCACAAATTCTCCTAAATCACTCGTATGCACAACTTAAGAACAAATCTGTTTGTACGAACGGTTCTTGCATGAGGTCCAATGAGAGGATAAAGCAGAGTAACTTTAGGTTTCTGAAATGACCTTCCCGAATCCTCAACCTCAGTCTTGGTAAAGGGATCCCTGATTAGTTGTAACATTAGACTTTATTTGATAAATATTTTAACTGTAAAATAAAGACTAAAAACAACTGTAGGCTGTTTAGTTTTTATCATTTTTGAACTAAAAGTTTAAAAATATATTGCATGGACAGGGCCATAATTTACTAAAAAATTTACAAAACTAAACGTTTTAGTAAATTATTTAGCATAATAATTTAGCATTTTTACTGTCTTTATTTTACAGTTAATATATATGTTTATCAAATAAAATGTAATGTTACAACTAATCAGGGATGCCTTTTAAAATGTATGGACCATGCTTAAAGGCCAGGTTTGTATCAGGAAATGATAACCAGCCATTAAAAGTGGACAGGCTCACTTTTAGCAGGGAGATTGAGTGAGACCTTTTAAGGTATCATAAAGTTTTTTTAAGCTCCCTGTAGTTATGCAACAGTGTAAAGTGGATGTGTTTAAGTAATTTTTGGGTGCAAAAAGCCATTTATATGATACATGAAAAGTTCCTCACAAGACAAAGTATATTAGGTATACATCTTGATAATTTTGGCTTTTAATAGGTCATTAGAATATAAGAGTCATTTCAGACACTGAACTTTAGGCACTACCATTGTAATATCGTTGGTTTGTGTTGACTGTTTTATGTCTTTATTGTGACTCACCCACTATCTGTGGTAAGGAGTAGCCTTCCAGATCAAGCAGAAGACTTCCTGTCTGCAGGCAGGTCCTCAGCTCAAAAAGGCTGTGAAGGGTCAGTGTGGAGACATGGGGCTTGCTCCATCGTTCTCCTCCCTCCTCCACCTTCTCCTCAAATTTTACCCACCTAAAAAAAAGAAGATATCTGGGGTTCAGTAAAAAAAGGGCATTTAATTGTTAAATATACAAACAAAATGTTTGGTTTGTCTCTGCTGGTGTGTCATTCATGTTACATCATTATCACTATTAGTTTTGTCATGTGGTGCAGAATTCTTTTTTTTTTACCTACAACCCCTGAAGTCTCAAGCTTTAACTTCTAAATTTGATCAAAGGTGACCCTAAATCTCAGACAAATAAAATATATTTCTATGTATGTGGGTACATTTTTTTTTACCTTGCAGACTCTTTCCACTCCAGTTCATCTCCATATAGCTGCAGTGTGTCCATTTCAGTGAATATTGTCGGCGTTGGGGAGCTGTCATCCTCCCCTAGAATGTGACGAAGTCGCTCTGCAGCCGGTGACACTAAACCAAAAACAGGGTCACTTTCAGGTTTTTATTCATTCTAAGAGTACCTGAGGAAACAATAATTTTATCATAGGTTACTAGATAATTAGGGTTGTTTCCTAGGTAGGTTTCTTGTGTAAAAAAAGGCCTAAAACTTTAACTACTGATTACGCTACAATGGGTGAATCACGTCTGCATGCTGCATTTACAGTCGAAATATAGCTTTCAAATTAATGAAGGATCTAGTCTGACAATTATATGTCAATTTAGCACAAATTAAAGTTTAAAGATAGTGCTTCACCATGTGTAAAAATATTGTATCATACATTGTCATTAAATCTTTGAACTGTTTTCTGAAGTGAACTCTATTCATCATTAGCAATGCCTCAAAACGACTTTTCCATGGTCTAACACTCTAAATCATAACCTTAATCTAAGTGTTCTTTTTAATGAGATTCATTTCATTCTTATGTCTTTTGAAGTATGATAGGGCCGATTATTGACTCTTGTCTACATTATGTTCTGCTAATCCTCTGAAATCCACTAAAAGTCACAGACTGTGAAAGAAGAGTAATCTGAGAAAAAAGGACCAAAGTTAACTTAAATGGAGCTGGCCAGCTTAAAAAAATAAAATGAATTTAAGAAAACAGAAAGGAAAAACAGAGGCTGATGTGGCAGCAACAGTAAAAACTCAAGGAGAAACAGAGAACAATCAGACTGAACATAAAAACTAATGCCAGACTGTGGGTGAGGTAAAAACTGGAAGACTAAATGGACTGGGACTGATGAAGAGACTAGAGACATCTGGATTAATGACAACAGGGAACAGGTGTAAGTGGGTGCAGAACTGGAAGGGAAAGGCTGACTCTGGAAAAATACTGAGAGTGGCTAGAAAACAGGGAGCTACGAGAAATGCTGAACACAAAGAAAAAACGGAAACTAAACATCACAGGAAATAAACATGAAAATAAACTTTAAAACAAAAAAACCCTCAATGTTGTAAAAACACAACTATTTGACAGGTGATGTAAACAGACCCAGCAACAGGTGTTTTTTTTAATGATTGTTTGATAAATGAATGAATTCCATTACTTAATTTTCAATTATTGCTCTTATTGGTGTTGGAATTTCTTGCTTTAAAAAGCCTCAGATGTGCAACATGTGCAGTGCTTGTGTGCAAACACAGTGTGTTAACAACATAAAACAAACCTTTCAGATTATAGTTTTAAAGCTTATCATAATTACTAAACAGAAGATAAACTACATGTCTGGTGTGGAGAAGAAAAACAATGTTTTCTTTAAAAAGTCCTCTTTGGTCAAACAAACAAGAATTAGGTCCTTTAATGACAATCTAAAAGTCATTTGTAATCAATCAGCTGACACCTTTTTCTAATTTTATTCTCAGCAGATCAATCTCCATTACCATGCTGAGCCTGGAGGCAGGGTTCTCTTGCATCCTGTTTATGTGCACACGTGTGTTTTCATGTGTCACTATCTGCAGATTCTCTGCTGACCAGTTTGTGTTACGACAGAGGAAATTTTCAAAAAGATGTGACATCAGCGATTGTCCTGCAGTAACTGTAATAATTCTTCTGCAGTTGTAACACTTCCTATCATAAAGTCTTCCACCGAAGGAAAAACATTACATATTAATTACAGCAGAATGATATTTTTGTTTGTTTGAGCACATATTTATGTTAAACATATATATATTCATGAGCCAGGACAGAGACTTCCGCACGGTTTAATGCTACAATAAAAGCAAGACCCATGAAAGGAGCTTTATTGGAAAGAAAGGGGAAAAATGAAAACATCCAGATTGACTCAGAAACAGCTTCAGACCCCAGTGTTCCAACATTTGCATGAAACATCGGCCTAGAAATCAAATAGATACAACTGAAGTGTGACACAAGCTGCACATCATCCCATACGACCCACACTAAGACCAGATGAACTGAACCAACACATTCTCACTCCCGAGTCGTCACATATTGACGTTTTTCAAAGGTCCCTTTGCGTCCAATTTTGACGCATCAGGTACCCCCCTCGCGTCAGTCCTTGCCGCCCGCGGCTTTTCCGGGTTGCGCCACCAGGGGTCTTTGGGTCGGGGGTCTGAGGTTAACATTAGGGATCAGGATAAATGGTTAAGTTTAGGGACTGGGGTCAGGGATAGGATGTCTACAGTGAACATTAGGTAATTTTAGGCTTTGCAACACGTAGTTGCCATGAATTTCCTACATTTTCTAAAAATGGTTAATTTTASGTATCAGGGTTAATGGTTAATTTTAGGTACTAGGGTCTGGGACAGGATGTCTAAAGTGAATAAACGTAATTGCACGCTTTGGGACGGTAGTATTTGTGCATTTTCTACACTTTCAGAAATTACGACAACAGATTCCGCCCCATCCCGTCAAAATATGACGCAAGGGGGGTACCTGATGCGTCAAAATTGGACGCAAAGGGACCTTTGAAAAAAACGTCAATATGTGACGACTCGGGAGTGAGAATGGGTTGACTGAACACAAATGTAACTGGCCTGATCTTGAGACCAGAATCAACTTGGATAATACAATGCACCCCTTGTCAAGGCTAAGCAATAAACACCTTATGTAAATGAAGCACTAAAAATAATCCCTGCAGGCACCATCACAGAGAGCATTAGGCTAGTAGACAACATGGCAACACAACGTGGGAAACAAGTCAAGAACCCGATTTAAAGCAAAGCAGCATGGTGTGGCTTGTGGCTGTTCTCCCCTCAGCAGGTTCATTGAGTGGCTGTGGACACTGATTCCAACGAGGAGTGGTCACATTCACCTGCTCTCCATGGATGGTATCAAGCTGGGTGCTAAAGATAAGCAAGACCTTACAACTGGTTGGTTCTTGGTCTAATGATTCAAGTCCAAACACTGAATCAGATCCCCCAAATTCAAGGTCTAAATTAATCTGAGTAATCAATGTCCTTTGGCAGACAACAGATTAAAATCTGTCAGTTGGCAACCAAACTCACGATATTGGTAAGGAAAACACTGCATTATGTAAAACGAAAAGTCAAAATTATTACTATTTATTACCTTTTCAATTTGTTTATTATGTAGCACTGAATTGTAGGAAAATAATGTTAAATAAACTGGAAGCCAGAATAATTTTGCAGAAAGCCAGTTGATTTCTTCTAAAAAGCTTTGCTCAAAATCTGACTCCAAAAGGCCCACAGTCAGTCAGCAGCAGCCCTGTGAGAGAAAAAGGTCTCGGTCTTATCAGAACAGCAAAACAAAAACAATCCCTCTCAGGAGCCTGTGTCTGTCCAAGACTGCATATCATGTACAATCACCCCCCAAAAAATGTACGTCTGTCCTATCTCTGTTGAGCATGTATCACTATAACTCTAAGTAGTGATGACTTCATGAGATTCTTTATAGATAAAATCATTTTAATAAGGAATAAAATTCATGCCAAATTCCTGCTACTGTCTCTGATTCTCTGTCAGATGAGGCAGCTTTAGTGTCACTAGAACCTGATTTATGTCTGGACAGTTTTTGTCCTGTTGAGCTCTCTGAATTATCTAAAATAATAGCTTCATCCAAACCTTCAACATGTCTGCTAGATCCTATCCCAACCAAACTGTTCAAAGAAGCATTTCCTTTAATTAATATCCATATTTTAGATGTTCTTAATTTATCTTTAATAAATGGTTATGTGCCAAAGAGCTTTAAGGTTGCTGTAATTAAACCTTTACTTAAGAAACCTGATCTTGATTCAGGAGTTCTTGGCCATCTATAGACCTATATCTAATCTCCCATTCATCTCAAAAATTCTTGAGAATATAGTTGCAAATCAGCTACGTGAACATCTGGATAGAAATAATCTATATGAGGAGTTTTAGTCAGGGTTTAGAGCTCATCATAGCACAGAAACAGCACTGGTTAAAGTATTCTCATGGCCTCAGACAGTGGACTTGTGTCCATTCTTGTCCTGTTAGATTTCAGTGCTGCATTTGATATAATTGATCACAATATTTTATTACATAGATTTGAACTTGATATTAGTATTACAGGAAGAGCTCTAAAATGGTTTGAGTCTTGCTTAACTGATATATTTCAGTTTGTTAATGTTAGAAATGAATCTTCTTACACCAGAGTTAGTCATGGAGTTCCTCAGGGTTCAGTGCTTGGATCAATCCTCTTTACTTTATACAGTATACAGTATGCTTGCATTAAGTAAAGTTATCAAACAGCATGGGATAAATTTCCATTGTTATGCTGATGATACTCAGTTATATTTATCCATTATACCTGATGAATCCAACCAGTTACTTAAACTACAAGCATGCCTTACAGGCATAAAAACATGGATGAATCTTAACTTTCTGCTTCTAAACTCAAATAAGACAGAGGTTATGGTTTTTGGACCTGAACATCTTAGGAATCAACTTTGTAGCCTTTCACCTCCTCTGGATGGCATTAATCTGACCTCCAGTTCTAATGTAAAGAACCTTGGTGTTATTTTTGATCAGGACATGTCTCTTAACCCCCACATTAAAAATGTTACCAGGACCGCCTTCTTCCACCTGTGTAATGTCACTAAAATTAGAAACGTTTTGTCCAAAAATGATGCAGAAAACCTGATTCATGCATTTATCATGTCTAGACTGGATTACTGTAATTCTTTATTATCTGGGCATCCAAAAAACTCTTTAAAAAGTCTTCAATTAATCCAAAATGCTGCTGCTAGAGTTTTAATGAGAGTTGGAAGGAGAGATCATGTTTCTACAGTTTTAGCTTCTCTCCATTGGCTCCCTGTCAAATTTAGAATATAATGTAAAATATTATTTCTAACATACAAAGCTCTTAACAACCAAGCTCCATCATATATTAAACATCTTATTGTTCCATACTTTCCTAACAGAGCACTTTGCTCTCAGACTGCAGGTTTACTTGTGGTTCCTCCAGTTTCTAAAAGTAGAATGGGAGGCAGAACTTTCAGTTATCAAGCTCCGCTCTTGTGGAACCAACTTCCAGTTTCTGTCCGTGAGGCTGACACTCTGTCTACTTTTAAGATTAGACTGAAGACTTTCCTTTTTGATAAATCGTTAGGTGACAATGTCAATGTGTTACCATAAATGAAGTTAATAAATATGTTTTTCGCAATTTAGTCAGTAATAAGTAAATTCAAATTTTCACAATTGTCAAAGACATAATCCTAACACAAACTTGTATCATAAATCATGTTTGATAAAAGACAAAAACTAACAGAGTAAAGAATTAAACCCTTTTTTTTCTTTACAAAATGTTGTTTTTTTCCCCTGTTTGATTGTTTTGCCTCTCATATCAAACTTTACCTGTTGTGGAGCCAGATATGGTCAAATGAGAAGCCATAATGCAGGCTCCAGGATCTTGCATGTTCACTGGATCCTCAAACCAAACAGAATAAGATCCAAAAGTTGGTGAAGAGAGATGTCGTCACGGTTGCTTCAGGGGAAAAAAGGCCTCAAACCTTGTTCCCCTTGTCAAAGTTAAGAACTTGCTGCTCAGTAGAAAAGTGATTCACTTTCACAGGTCTTCCTTAGCATTGTGTTTTAATTTGTTGCGGTTTTAATCTGGTCTTTTTTGGAGATTATTTCAATCGTCCTGCTTCAGTCGCTCACCTATGATTCAGCGTGTGGATGCTGCACCTTTAATTCAGTAAGAAAGGTTCTTTACAGGCTGCGGGAGAAATCCACAGAAAATCTCCAAAGCAGCAAAAAGCCAGAGGGTTTTAAAAGGGCGGACACACACCACAGGCTTCTCTAGTACTCCCCACCCATGCTCACACACTTGAGCTTCCACGCTACACAAACAAGAACTTCTCCTCCAACAAAACTTGTGCTCTTTTTGAAGACCTCAGCAGTCTTTTATCAGTTCCACAACAGCCTGTCCACATCAGAACCTGGACCAGAACTACATGACTCAAACAAAACTAAACAAAATAAAACAAAAACAAAAATAAAGCACAGAACAAAGCACACTCCTGCTCACTTCAAACAGTACACACACATACTGTATTCACATGCACACACAGCTTGGAGCTCCACAGCTTTAATCAGCTTACAGACTTCAGACTTCACGGTTCCCTGGGAACATGCTTCAAAATATTCAGCACATACATGCGCCCCTCTTTAAACACAACACAAGTTGCTCGATGGGTTTTCTACCGGACACACATCAGACCAGGTCATATGACTCACTACAAAGGAAAACAAGGCGCTCAAAGAGTTTCATGTGTCACGTTTTACTGAAGGGAAACTTGACAAAGAAAGAGATTATAATTGGTTGTAGAGATTAGCAGTAAAACAATTATGCAAAATATTATTTGCTTTCAGGTCTTCAGATCCACTGGCCTTGTTGTGACATTAGTCTGAGTTTTAATGGAGAATGGACAATTATCAATTTCACCATTCTTTGAATTAAAGGGGCAGTATCATGTAAAATCAACTTTTTTGAGTTTTATATCATGTTATAATGTTGTACTCTCATAAAAACATGCCCAAAGCCTTGCTTTGATTCATTCATGCATGTTTGAGAAATCCTGCAGTGTTTTTAGGAAGCCATGCTGAGGAGCAAAACGACAGGTGGGGACCAGAAACGCCTTTTGGGACCAGAAACACCCCTGGGTTGTGTCTTTTATGGGCGTGACTCAAGTGGTTGGATTTTCTTAAAGAGACAGAGACCTATTTCAAGACGTTTAGAAACTGTCAAGATGAGAAGTAAATTGTTTTGGGGATTTTTACAAATATATAGATCTTTCATAAGCTGAAAATGTGACATAGTTACTTTATTTTAGTATAAAATTGAAATATAGGCTTGGGAAGCACATAATATCGCCCCTTTAAGAAATGTTGACACTTTCTCACCATTTGTGCTGTTATTACACATTATTTGGTGACTGAAAATGAACCTTTTAGAAGTGCTCTTATTGTTTGTTTGTTTGTTTGTTTGTTTGTTTGTTTGTTTGTTTTCAACATTTTATTATAAATTATTTTATTTTATCATTATTTAACCAGGCAAATCCTATTAAGATCTCAGGCTTCTATTGCAAGGGCAGCCTGGACCTGAAGGCAACCTATTGTACAAGTTTGGGGTGTGGGGGGATACTTTATTTGTGGTTTTGCTGACGTTGGCTCACACCTCTGTCCAGAAGGTCTGAATGACAGTACATTCTCACAAACAATGGAATCTTGTTTCAAGTAAAGTTCACCTTGATTTTCTCAACCATGCAAGTTTATCCGAGGTCAAACTATATATCTTTGCATTAAATGTTGTTATAAAGTGTTTGTGCTCTCTGTGGTTCAACAAAAACTTTCCTAACAAATGAGATTTTTCTGTAAAATTCAGGGAAATGGCTTTCTTAAGCACATAGTGTCTAATTTGCAGGTATTTACAGAAATCCTTATTTGACAGGTAAGATTGAGATTTCCTGATTTGTATGTTTTGAAGCTTCCATAATTAAATAGATGTGTTCTGTTCTATTCTACTCTTTGCCAACTTGTGAAGTTTTATCGCACGCTTTGTGAAAAAGGTCTGGGTCACCTAATGTTAATAAAATATTGAATATGTTACTTTTAAACATTCTTCTCAGTTTCCCCTATGCCCATCTCACATTCTTTATCAGGAAGTTGTCGTTAACAGTACACAGTAATTCATTTGGGCATTTCTCTAATAGGTTTAATGAGGAGAAGAGTTTACATATTACTGATTCCAGCTCTATCCAATGACGTTGTAAATTAACTAAGTACAAATACTTTGTTACTGTACTTAAGTAGAATTTTTGGGTATCTGTACTTTACTTGAGTAATTATTTTTCTGCCTACTTTTTACTTCTACTCCTTACATTTTAAAAAAAGGCAAGAAATAGAAAGTTGTTACTTTTATTTCATTTTTGCTTGTTTTCATTCCAGTTTGTTATTGTAAAAAATAAATACTATTCATATAAACTGTGCCTCCTAGATAGAGTGAGTTTAACTGTGGTTGAATGAGAAGTATAAATATATAAAATTCTGATACCGTATTAGTTTGTACACAAACAAATCATGTCTCACTGCATCAGGACATAATCATTAAAATAAAAGGACTGTACTTAAGAAGTATTTGTATTTCATGAATTAAATTATTGCATTTGGCCGCAGCCCTCAGATACATTTTCATTTTGGGGAAAGGTTTTGGGCACCATTGATAAATGTATATAAACTGAAACAGCTAAACTAAATTTAACATAAATTAATCATTTTAATACAACAGTCATTTCTGCAGTTTTTGAGGAGGTCACCTCCTAATAAATGTCATAACAGAAAATCTAACTGCTCATTTTAAATCAAAACTTTTACTTTTATGACTTAAGTATGAAAAATATTAGAAACTTTAATACTTTTATTCAAGTAATATTCCTAAAAGAGAGTTTAACTTGTACCAAAGTAATTTTTTGGTAAGATACTTGTACTTTTACTCAAGTATCACTTTGTGGTACTTTATACAACACTGACTGTAACTGTCAGTTAGCCGAGGAGGAGATAAATCTGTCCTGAATGGCCAATAAATAATTTTCTGTAAGCCCTACCCCCCTACTCCTTTGGCATTTGAAGGGTTTCTAGTTGGACTTTAGACTTCCTGCCAACCCAAGTAATATCAGATTTTATCTGATATTACTTTAAAATCACAAACAACATGAATACAGGATTTATACTGTTTGGGAGTACTGACATGTTAACAAAGTTAATTCTGCCTGGAAATTATATTGGAAGATTCATCCACCTGGTTAGACTTTCTTTAATTTATTTTATCAAAGAGATGATAATATTTTTTACACTTAACTCACAAATTTTCGGTGTACTTTTAATTCCTAAATATATGCATCCTTCGGGGGCCCAGTGGAAGGGTTTAACATACTTAGGTTCAGCGTTACCACTTTTACAGTTGTCCAGGTTAACTTTATCCACATATTAGATCAAATCTTTGATTCATTCAGTCACTGCTGGGAGCAATTTAATTGGTTCTGTCAGTGTTAGTAGGATGTCGTCTGTGGGTTTTGTTGAATAGATTGGATTAGATGTTGCCAAAGGCTCGATGGCCAGAGCAAAGAGAAGAGGAGATAGTGGACTTCCTTTTGATGGGCTTCTGTTTGATTTAAAGGGGACTGACCGGAGACCATTTGTCAGAACTGAAGCAGTGGTAGCTCTGTCTGAAAGCTTGACCCAAGCCATATAATTTGGTCCAAATCTGAATCCTTTCATTGTCTGAAATATATATACAGTATATATTCCAATTCTGTTCTATCAAATGTCTTCTCTGCATCCATACAGACTTGCATTGCCCGGAGGAATCTGATTTGTTTTCATATAATGAATAATATTAAAAAGCTGTCTTGTGTTATAATAATGAGTTTCTTTAATAAAACCTGCCTGGTCTGCATCCACAATGAATGTCAAAACCTGCTCTAATCTCTTTGCTAACACTTTAGTGTTAGCTAACTCTCAATTTTGCTGGGACTCGTTAAAATGGACAAACATTCTTCTGTGGTGATCCACATTTTTCAAATTTACTACAACTTGTGATGATGTATGAGAGTTAGTTAACCTGTGGGATCAACGTGCTCGTGATGCTCTGCACTGCCTCCGTCGTCACAGGGCTCCTCTCTGTCGTGGTAGTATTCTCCGTGTGAGTGCTCATGGCGTGCATAGTGATCGTAGTGTGAGTGCCGTGAGTCATGCTCGGCATCACGAGTGTAGGAGTGATGTCTGCGTCTTTTCCGTCTGTGTGCAACTGGAACACCGATGTAGAATGGTTGGACCTCTGAAAGAGAGAATAAAAACACACACAAGCAGGAAATGAAATGTTTTTACATGATGCCAAATAACCAAAGCAACCAAGCTTGTTTTCTGGACTCCAGCAGGGCTGCACATTGTTTACCATCCTGTTTGTGATGTTCATGGACAGCCATGCAGAGGAGAATGTCTGGTTTGGGAACTCGAGGGTCTCATCTCTGTTTTTTGCTGCACAATATGTGTTTTATTGGTATCTTCAGGCCATGTCTCATGCACTGGGTCAGTTTACAGTCGATAACATACTGCATCCAAGTCTGACAGAGGACATGCACCGGCGCCACCGGACCCTCTGACCACCACCATCAAGCAAGGCAGGTGAAGTGTCTTGCCCAAGGATACAACAACTGAGACAACTGGAACAGGCAACCAGCAACGTACTGGTTACAGGACGACTCCCTTAACCACTCTGCCAAAGACACCCCGTGGATCAATAAGTCCAGTCTGCTGTGATGATGGCATTGCTCTGGTCTGTTGTTGTTGTTAAAAAGGAGCTGAACCTCTTTATTAACTGGTCTGTCTATGTTCCAGTCCCTATGGTCAGAAGGTGTGGATGATTAATGAAACAGTAAGTTCCTTGAAATAAATCCCTCCGTAGGGTGGCCAGGCTCAGCTTCAGAGATAAGGGGAGCTGCTCCATCATTTGTTGAAGTATATCCATGTCTCCTATGCATCAAAAGGAGTGTAGGGATCACCCTGAGGGGGAATAAACATTTCCACCTGTCTTTGAACCTGGTCTCAGAAGACCTCCCTCAAAAGAGACATTTTATTTTCTTTAATCAAGATAATAAACAAAATAACAATGTTCTTTATATTTTTTTGATTTGTATTTTCTTTTAACTAAAAGTTATTATCATTTGACCCCTACAGGAGTCGAATGAGGAGGTCTGCGCATCTGATTGGGACCTCTAGAAAGTTTTACAGAATTCACAGGAGAGAATCTGTGTCTTGTTTAGCCTTGGAACAGCTTGACTCTTTTAGGAGCCGGAGAGTGTCACTTGGAAGATGGAAGTTTAGCTCCTGTACCTGTTGCTTCTGTGGCTCACGCATGGATAAGTGTTGATGGATGGATGGATGGATGGATGGATGGATGGATGGATGGATGGATGATGGATGGATGATGGATGGATGGATGGATGGATGGATGGATAGATGGATGGATGGATGATGGATGGATGGATGGATGATGGATGGATGATGGATGGATGGATGGATGGATGGATGGATGGATGGATGGATGGATGGATGNGATGATGGATGGATGGATGGATGATGGATGGATGATGGATGGATGGATGGATGGATGGATGGATGGATGGATGGATGGATGGATGGATGGGGTGAAGTAGAAAGTACAAAGTAATTCTGTTGCTGTTTTTGAATATTACACCATGATTATCTCTAATCTATGGAAACTGTCCAGTGACATAGAATTAAAAAGATTATTCCATGACCACAAATTAATAGCTCATGGTCATAAGAGAGTTAATGCAAGGCCACAAGGTAATTATTGTAGCCATTTCTATGCAGAGACTGTTGATTGTTAACTTGGACAAGTTTGAATTCATTTAATTTTATTTAACAAAGGAATGAATGACATACTTCAGTCAGTTGTGGTTAGGTGTGAAGTAAGTAACAATATAAACTGCAGCTATAACACAGGTAACAACTGGAGTTGTTTTTGCCCGAAAAAACTTTTATTTTTTTAGCTCAACACTCAAAACAGGCTCCTCTTTCACTGTGTTTTTGCTGTGGTAAGAGTAGGAGTTATGTTGTGGTCAAGAACACAGTAAAAAATGACTGTTTCTGGACACAAGTAGGGTTTTCATTGTTATCTTGTAAATAAACCATTTAGATTATAGAGGTATAGTATTTGGATTAAAAAGCACAAAAAATAAATAAATAAAAAAGGTCTGGGGTACCTCTGAACAGTTAAAAACCAAAACAAAGTATTCATATATAATCTGATTCCAACAATGTCTGTATTGGCTGCTTAAAATCTCAAGGCTACAAAGTATTAGCTTGTGGCCACACATTAATTTACTTTAATCCAATGTGTGTCACTGGACAGGCTCCATACTAAACTCCTGGGCCCTCATGCTTAAAGGATTGCACAGCTTTCACACTACAAGTTGACGTACGGACAAATTTAGAAAAGTGTGCCACATAAAAAAATAATCAAATTAATAAAACTGTGCGCACGCAGGTTCCTGCGCTACTTTCCTTTATACGTACATCCCAATGAACGTGGAACTGAGCGCACGTGAGACACCTCCCCCTGACACGCCTCATTTAAATATGTAAAATAGATGTAAATGTGTCCAGCGTGTGAGATTGTCCTCAGATTGTCCTCTCTGTGGGATCAGAAATGAATTTTAGATGCAGGAAAATTATACATTAAATGAAGAATGAGTGAGAAAACCATCTAAACAAGTAGTGGGATGTAAAAATGTGTTTGCCACACGCGAGGTGTGTGTGTGTTGGTGTGTGCGCGTGTGTGAAGCTGCTGTCTTCAGCGGCTCATGAGACTGAGACATTTCCACCTTTACACGTCTTTAGTAAATGACTGTCACAGAGGAACATATGAGTTTGGTAGAACTTAGAAAAATATTTATTAAATAGTTGATGTGAAGAAACAAGTCGCAGCGTTTCTGCCGCGGTGTGGTTTATATTTTAAAATCATGAAGTCTCTCATTCAGCTGCATGGCTCAGTTCAGAACTACAGCAAAATACCTGATTGTAATTTTTTCGGTGTGATACAAAAAAACAAACAAAAAAAATATATGCTGTCCTCAATTCTTCTTGTGGTGATATCACCCTGCAGATGATCCATAAATTACGCACAACTTTACGCAGCATCTTGTGGAGCTGAGGAATCATCACAGCTGAGCTGTTCTGAATTAATCTGCTGAGTTGACAGTTTTTTTTCTCAGAATTAAAATGTTTCTCAGACAATTCACACATTTTATTCTCCTCAGCTGTGTGTGCGCTCTGCAGGCCATGCACTCTGCGTGTGTTTCCAACTACGTGACGATTTAAACACTTCACAGTTTACAGACTGGACTGAGGTTCTTTTGATCATTTTTAGACTGATCTATTTTCTTGTCTGAGGTTAAGATTTTCAGTTTTATGATTGTTCGAGTTTAAACAATAACAACTCAAACTAAAATAAAACCAAACAGCGTGTTCAGACGCTCCTTACATCCAGAAAACACACCAAAGTCATATTTCTGTGGATTCAGGTCAGATTCAAAACTTTGTGGGTTAAAACTGTTGACTGATAAACTTTGCGTGGCTGCCGCACATTCTCACGCAACGTTGGTTTTTATACAACACAACGTGGGCGTAGAACCTGGCGCACGCAACTTTGTTATGCGTACACACCGCTTATACATGAGGCCACAGCTGTTGTGCATTTTTTATCTCCCTATCACTGACAACAAAATAAAGACAACATGTGCTGCACATAGACACTAATGTTACTTCTAATCAAAACATGTGGTTTACTGAACTGAGGAGTGGATTCTCATAAAGGCCCTTTTTATTTTAAGCCATGACACCCGGCAGGCACAGTAAAACCCAGCTGACTAAGGCATAAAGCAAATTTTTTTACACCACAGGTGGAAAAAAACATGTTTTCTTTCTAGTCTATCATTTTCCATCTTTCTAATCTCCTGAGACAACTGTCTCCTTCTCTTCCTCTGGTCCATGTTGAGTGTGGTCCACACCATGTCACCAAACAGCACAGCGAGTATCTGTAGCCCTATATACAGGACCACTGACGGATTACAAGATTGTAAACACCTGTGATGATAATTAGTGGACACACCTTGATTTAACATGACCCTTTCACATGACTTTCAGGGGTACCATCATTTCTGTCCAGGCCTGTTTCATGAGTTTTATATATTTATTTATTTTATTCTGTTGAAGCATGGCTGAAAAGCAATGCTGATTTTCATTTGTTCATTTTCAGAATTTTTATTTATTATTACTTTTGTCAGATTCTAGTTATGTCTGTGACTATTGTAGGTTTTTCAATCATTAAACGCGGGGTGCCAACAATTTTGTCCGCATGTGAATATGTCTCTGTGTGTTTGTCTGTCAGCAAAGTATCTCATGAACAAATGGATGGATTTTGGATGAAACTTTGGGTGAATATCTATAACCTTTTGGATTCAAACTAATCCAAAACTGCGGACAAAAACAAAACTGGTAACTAATAATGCCTCGTGTTTTTACTCAGATGTTTGAGATGATTGTACTTTGATTTTCATGAGATGTTACAGTTATAGTTCATTAGTCATGATGACCTGGTTTCTTAAATAGAATAGAATAGAATAGAATAGAATAGAATAGAATAGAATAGAATAGAATAGAATAGAATAGAAT